TTTGGCCTTGAGGTCTCTCTGTTGAGAGTGGCCATAAGCCAAAATAGCCACTCTCTAGGAGAGCCCTGATGGGCGGGGAGTTAGGTTCTCCTGTGTGGGTCAGGTGAGACATAATGAGGAGGTGAAAAGACACTGCATGAAATAAAGCCAGGATTTAAAAGGTTAGAAACAGACACAATAAGGTGCAAACTGTGGTCTATGCAAGTATTTTGACTTTTTAGTTTGAATGGCACACTTATAAGAGGCAATGTGACTAGGCGGGTTTGTGGACAGCCATGACCTTACATCATGTATTTTGAAGGCATGCCATTTCCCCAGGCATCTGAATTTATTCCCTCTAAATATGGGGGAGAGTCCCTGCCAAGGGGAACAACATAAACCGAAGATCACGTGGGTCTAACTGAACAACTAGATTATAAAAGTAGTTTGGGTCCAAATTGCAGAATGCCATGAATGTCACACTGAACACATTCTTCAGTCAATACTAGATGACAGCGTGACATCCATGCATTGCAACTCAGTGGTGCTGGGCCAATTGTGCAACTAGTAATTAACAACAGTAAACACTGTAAGTAGCTTCTGGTTCTTTCAATATGATGCCAAGCATCTGGGCCTTCGGAAGTGGATTCCTGACTGCTTTCTTTCAGCTGCCATCTGAGCTCGTGCTATTCTGCAGATACAGCTTCTGTTTAGACAACTGAAGAACAACTTTATACAAAGTAGGTTAAAAACTTCTAATACCCATATGTTTTAGAGTAATGCTAAAAGAATTACAAAATGAAGCTACAGATGCCAATTAGGAACAATATCTTAGTGGGGTTTATTATGGGAATAAAGTTGTCTGGAGCCAATAATTTGCTCTGCAAGATTTTGCTGCTTTGAGGATCAGTTCTCATGCAGTAAAATTGCTACTCAAAAGGGTAGGAAAGACAGTTCTGTGATACTATTATTGAAAGCTCTTATATATCCACTTTAATCAGAGGCTTATCATACCCAACGATTAATAACTATAATTTATCCATATGTATTGAGATTTTTGAAATATTTAATAAATGA